TGAAACGTCTGGAAGAAGCATGGGGAGATACATTGACACCCATCAGTGATCCAGCGAATGATGAAGTTCGAAAATACACACAATCTTTATCTCCAGAGGTGCGTCAGGCAATGACTGCCGCCCAGATTCTAACGGCTGTCAATGAGAGAAGAAGACAGGCCCACATGGAAAAGGTGCCGCTGACGAAGAATCTTATAGGACTCCTTTTTGTGTCGCACGCGGAATTGAGTTTCGACCAGAGGATGTCACTTACCAGCATTATGGCACATCGTGGAATAGATCTGGTTGGTTTGGACGCCGGCACTCTGAGAGACATTTTTATCGAGATGTTTTGCAATCCAAGAACAGCCGTGGATAATCTGCTCCTAAACAATACCGGCCATGGTGGCCGAAGGAGCTTCATTGTGATGGATGAAGGAGAACTTGATGGCTCCTTCGGTTCTTGGGCCGAAGATGAAGACGATGGGGCAGAAGGCTTTCTGGATGCTCATGAAGATATTTTCTATATCTATGACGAACAAAACGATTCATGGTTCCAGCGTCGTTTCCAAGGCCGGAGATCAAGGAAAGGCAAGGGAAAAGGACGTGGAGGAAAGAGCCGCGGCCGAGGCCGCGGCGGTCGGAGATTCTTTAAGTCTCGCCGCAAGAAGAAGGGCCATTACCAGGAAGACCACAGCCAGTCTGATGATCGGCCGTGGCAGACTGAAGAGGCCTGGCGGTGGCAAGATGGCTGGTCCAACCAGCCTGATGCAGCAGAGTCATGGCAATCATGGGATCAGGAATCAGCACATGAACACGCAGACAGTTACAAGTCTAAAGGTAAAGGCAAGAAAGGCAAGAAAGGTAAGAAGGGTAAAGATGGTAAAGACAAGAAAGGTAGTTCTCATGTAGCTTTTTCGCAACCTGAGGCTCAAGCTGCGGTAGATGCCCCTTCGTTGTCTTCCTCTTTTTTTGCTATGCATCATGTGGGAAGCCCGACCGCCGTCGGGGAACCCGAGTTGACAGGCGCAGCCCTTTGGAGGCCCAGTCAACGCTGGGGAACCAGATGTTGTGCCCGAGATGCTGATGTTGATCATAATGAGCCTGATGATGATGATGCACAGTTCCTAGATGTTGAAGAAGAAGCCCCTTCAGAAGGAGGCTCATTCACCAATGAGGAACCTGGAACTCCTTGGGGCTCTTTGCACACCCAATGTCGTACTACCGACTCTGAAGTCGACTTTGGTTTTGATGTTTATGTTCCTGACTTAGATAG